CTCTCATTAAACAAAACTCACAAGTTAAATTATCATTGGCAAGCTGAGTTCAAACACAGCATCTGGTATTATTTTGTATGTTCTTTCTGTATCTGTGTGGGCAAAAACATACACAGCTGAAGAGATGTAATTATCACACGTCTGAAGGCCAACCTCAGGTGGATCCCACAGACTGCAATTAGATGCACCGTGTGTTCAATAAATGCACAGCTATGAGAGTGACTGGTTATTAAATAGGTAACTTTAGCATTCCAGAATAACAGATAGATTTCAGCGAAGGAAAGCTGCTGAGGGCTGCTCGGCATCAAAATACAAGTTTGTGTGTGTTTGTGTATGCATAACTAGAAGCTGGAGCATAGATCAGCATGCAATGTGAAGGTTTTACAATGCAGTCCACTAAAAATTGGCCCATATTTTTGCTGTACGAGAGCCTAGCAGTAGATATTGTTCAGTAACCTAATTCAGCATTCCATAAGGCAACTCAAAAAAAAGGCATGCTCCAAACAAAAAAGAAGCACAATATTCCACATTCATAAACCAGAGCTTTTTGAAGGATTGGATCTCTTTCTTTTTACACACTATTCTGCAGCATGGGAGGACTTTGAAGAGAATAAAATAGATTATTCAGAAAGATAGCTTTGTGCAGGTAGCACTATTTTGATAAGTTTAATAGGTTCTAATTATCTTGTCCAGGTATCACATTATATTGGTAAACTACAAAATTAGATGGCGTGGCAAGGGTTATGTTGTTTCCGTTCAAACTGAACAGACCTAACTCTTTTACATCTCTTTTTATACTAGCCCATGTTTGAGCCTCCGGCCCTAACTAAGGCCTGTAACAACTCATATTTATTTTGTTTTACCTGATTACTCTGTAAAGCTGACACTGCCGGTGATTATCTCTGAACTGATATTGACGTTAACTTGCTGGCTCATGCCTATAAGAAACATGTAGTAAAGTAGAGAGAGCAAGGTTAAAAGGTGCAAATCCTATAATGCTGGAAACCTCACTTGCACGATCGTCAGCTGCATGCTGCAACCAACAGAATCACACCACCGCAATATCAACATGTCCTGCTATTTTCTCCATTTTATATTTTCTGTGATCCTAAACTGAGGTTAGGTGGTCACTCTTCCCCACCATTCTTGGCATAGTTGTTCATAGTATAGAAACTTATAACATACCGGGCTATTACTTATTCAGAGTAATTCTACTCTGTCTGGTGATAGTAGTCCAGAGCACCTCTGTTAATTAGTAATGACAGGAGTTGAACCCATATGCAAATCCTGTACTCTGCCATGGAACCATGGTCCAGCACCAGAGCAGTCCATGCCATTTTGCCTGAGTGATGAGTTACCGTGTGCGTGGACTCCGTACATGCTTCTCCTCAGAGTTGTGCCTTGCCTTCTTGCGGAAAACCCGGGACAGAAGCAGCGTTTTTCAGCTTGCCTGTGAATGTGCTGCCATGCCTTCATTGCATCAGACTAAAATACCTTTGAAGAGACTATTTTAATCAGGTTATCATACCTCTGAAAACATATTAAAAAAAGCTTTAGAAGAGGTCGTAGCTGTGTTAGTCTGTGCCAGCGTATCAGGCAACAACAAAAGAAAAAACAGAAAATGAAGAAGACAAAAACATTGTCCAAAAGTGGACTTGTCCAGAAAAGCTCACTTTAAAAGTGGACGTGATCTAGGAAAGATCACATTAAGGTATAATAGTTAACTTTAAGGTGCCACATGTTTTTTGTCTTTCTATCTTGTTTTTTTTCCCCTTTGGATTTTGCCTAAAATATAGCAATTGTTCTTTAAGTCTTCTTTATTTTTTATTTTTGCCTGATATATAAAAAATGTGACTATAGAACATTCCCAAAGCATCAGCTTTTAAAATCTGTCATAAATATTGCAGAATGTTTACACTGACAACCTAGATCTTGGTTGTAGGTTGTCCACCTTAAGTAATGCCATCGTATACCCTCTGACATCATTTATCGTATCACGAGAGATCCTCCAACTCCTGCCATTCATCTACTGCACAGACTGTTCACCCCTGTGTAGGCTCTTGTCTTCCCAAATTCCCTGTCATAGACGTTGATCCCATTACCATTGTGAGATGAAATTACAGGCTATCAGCCAGATGGTTGGAAGTTCTGAATGCTGGTTTGTTTGGATGTATTTGTGTTACTTTTTGAAAATGTATTTAGCTGCCTTCATGCATCTTGCCATTATATATGAATATTTCAAAATATCTTTCAAGAAGACTGATGACTTGCAAAAGTAGGCTTTGTAAAATGCAAACTCCTACATGAATCAAAGAGAGAGAAGCTGTGTGTAGGAGAAACAGTTGAAGGCAGCAAAGCTTAAAAGTTGGAAAGTTGATTCGTTTTTTAGAGTTTGCAAGGTTTTCTTACAAATTCGTGACCTTGTAGAAATAATAGCTGTGAGCTATTTTTCCTGTTGTAATTGTGGCAGTGGGGAAGTTAGTTTTGATGTGTAAATATCATGAGAAAGTGTAAGGATGCTCCAGGGTAGCGCTTAATGTACACATTTATGCATGTGCAGACTAAATGTTCACATATTGAATCTTGCGTCACCGCATTTTCACAAGTGTTGCTAACTTAATTGTATAAATAACATCAACTCAATCACACATGTTAACATTTCCCTTCTAAATTTAAATTATAGCCGGTGATAAAACTGGAAGTAATTCGCTCATATTTTATTGATGCCTTGCTTGATCTGATATACATTTCCCCCTTTTTGAAGTTTAAATAGCCCACAAAAACCATCCAAGCATATGAAGATGTTTATAATGAAAAGTGACGGTGTAAACACCAACAGTGTAATGAGAACATTAAATTGGATCTGCCCAAGTGTGATTCAAGGGACGTGGTGGCGCTGCGGGCTAAACCGCAAAAGCCTGTGCTGCAGGGTCAGAAGACCAAGCAGTCGTAAGATCAAATCCACGCGACGGAGTGAGCGCCTGTCGTTTGTCCCAGCTCCTGCCAACCTAGCGGTTCGAAAGCATGTAAATGCAAGTAGATAAATAGGGACCACTTCGGTGGGAAGGTAACAGCGTTCCGTGTCTAAGTCGCACTGGCCATGTGACCACGAAAGATTGTCTTCGGACAAAACGCTGGCTCTATGGCTTGGAAACGGGGATGAGCACCGCCCCCTAGAGTCGAACATGACTGGACAAAAAATTGTCAAGGGGAACCTTTACCTTTACTTTTAAGTGTGATTTGGCCCTCATTGGCCACGGCATGTGTGTGCTGGCAGGGCTCTTCCTTTGGAGAAATTTTAGCTGTAATGCCAATTTTAAAAGTATACGTTAACACAGTCGACTTTACACTCAGTTGAATATGCATCAAACACACACACACACACACACAACTTGCTTATGAAGAATTTCCATTGAGCAAACTCCAAACTGAGGAAAAGAAAATAAGGCAAATTTTTTGAATGGAGAGGGAAATTTCTCACTGAGCAGTAGAAGCTGTCTTTAACTCCATCCTGCTGTGTGTAACCCACTCAGTGGAATTTTATTCATTATAAAAAGTGGTGGTCTGTCTCGCCTCAGGCTTAGGTTACACCCAGCCAGACTGGCATCACCTTTTTCCTTATAACACATTGAAGATCACAGCTCTGCTTATGTTCTCCTGCCAATAGAACGTGGTAGCCATTGTACTTGGTGGGGCACAGTAGATTAATGGCGAATGGAACTAGGGCTGATAGAACTGGGCTTCAAATGGGTACTGATACGCATAGAGAGTCAGGTAGGCATTCATTTAGAAACTGACAGTGTCACTACTACCACCACGTTTGTTCACTCTCTAACTCTGAGAAGAGAAATGCTAAATTTGGTAGGAGCTAAGGGTGTGTTTCTCGTGGCTGTTTTGTTTTGTGTTGCTTTGAAGTCAGTTAATGTTATTTTATTACAAATTGCATGTGGGCTGCAGAACCGTCTTTTCTTACTAGGTGGAAGATCTCCTCAAGCAGTAGAGAGAAAGCCTGTTGTCCAGACATCACCATGTCATAGTTTCTTCTTCAGGGTCCCGTAACTCTCCAAACAGTTAAATTAGAGAGCAAAAACTCTTGCTGTTTAGTAATGCAGGGAAAAGTATTGTGAGGAGGGGAAAAAGCTGGAAAAATATTGATGTGAGGGAAAAGAAGTGAAAGGGAAGAGGAGGAGGAGGAGGAGGAGGAGGAGAAAAGAGAAAGGCAAAAAAACACGGGATTGGTGGACTAAGTGGTTTCAGTGAAGATGAGTACCACTGTTTGTAATATGTTAGAAACAAACAAACAAACAAACAAACAAACTCTGGAACTCCCTCCCACCAGAGACTAGCCAGGCCCATCTTTGCCACCCTTCTGAAAGCAGGTGAAGTCCTTTCTCTTCAGGCAGCCTTTCCTTTAGCGACTGGCTGACTTAAGTGAGATTTTAAAATGGAGGTGATTAGTATTGTGTTGTTTTAATGATTTTAATAATGCTTTTATTTAACATTTTATATACAATGCTTGTTTAATTCTTTTTTTTTAAATTGAATAATTTGTTGGTTTTAAATAACTTGTTTTTAATTATGTAAGCTGCCTTCAGTCCGCTTATGGTTAATTATTTTAAAATATTTGAATAACTTATCATTTTTATCTACTTCTTTTAATTATATAACCTAGGCAAAGTAAAAAAAAATATTTTAAATACAACAAATAAATAAATAATGCTCTGTACATGGGGACATTTCCGACAATACTGTGATGTAATTTCAGTAGCCATTTCACAGGTAAAATACAGAGAGAACATTTTGTAATCCTAATGTGAAAGGGCTATTACACAAGTAAGATCCAGTGGTAATTTATAATTTTGACCTGAGGCCTTTCATTTTGAAGAGTAGTGGGAATAAGTTGGTATTAAGATGCCAGGGGTTTAGTCGTCAAAAGAAAAAATTAGCCTGTGGAAAGTTGTCATGTGCATAATAATCATTCATAATCATTTATGTTCTAGAACTTTGGGATTGTTAGTAAAGCGGTTGGAAAAAGGTGGGAAAGCAGAACAAGAAAACCTCTTTCATGAAAATGATTGCATTGTCAGAATAAATGATGGTGACCTTCGCAATAAAAGATTTGAACAGTAAGTGCACACTTCTCATTTATTGCTTTCCTTAACCTTTCACTATTGCACGTGAAAATATTTGGGAAGGTACAACATATTTTAGAACAAATTGCCTAGGTAATTCTTTCATATAAAGAGGAAACTGTTCACAAATCATTAAAGCATTTATTTAAAATTACTCACTCTACAAAGGTAACGGCTGCCATTACTTGTCTTCTTTTGATAATTTAAGTCTTGTTTTCTGTTAAATACAGGACTGTTTCTTCCCAATCGGGTCCAACTATCTTGAATGATTTGGCATTAAGAATGAGAACTGCAATGTTGTTTTGTTGGTGCCTTAAACAACAGCAACACTATAACGTTTATTACTTTAATTTTTTTAAATGGAATTTGAAGTAAGAAATTTAGGACATTTGTATATAGAGCTTCTGACTTTTCTGAAGTCAATAAACTTACAGGCATTAAAAGCCAGAAACCAGTCATTTAAAAATTCCCCTCTGCCTCAGCTAAAAACTTCATAACTCATATGAATATTGTAATGAAATGAATATAAAGGACAATGGAATAGGATAACATAACATAACATGGAGCCCAGTGTGTTTACTGCCGCAATAGGTGTTTGTAGTAGATTAGAAAGAGATTTTAGACAGTTTATAAGCCAATATATAAAACTGTTATAAGTTTGAATTCTATGCTGAGGTTTTGCAGATAGGATAGGGTAGAAATTTGAAAAATTAATCCTTGTAATATTTTAAAAAGAATGTCAGAACATTAACATTTCTGATGTTTTAAGAACTCATGCACAGTATTAATAAATGAGAAATCAAGCACCCTTCCTAAATGTGTGCCCCTAAAAGGAATATACTTCAGAACAAAACAAAAAAAGTATTTGTTAACAGTTCACTCCAAGAAAATCTGCCTTTTTAGTTTACAGTTCACTTTCAGCAATATGTCTGTCATCTCAGGATGCCTAATTAACATCAGTAATTATGCTTGTAATGTCTTCTAGTGTGCCAGTCTTAATTTGCTAATTTTCTGTTCGTTCTAAAACCTAGAGCACAGCATATGTTCCGTCAAGCTATGCGTACACCGATTATTTGGTTCCACGTGGTTCCGGCGGTAAAGAAAGAACAGTATGAGCAATTGTCACAAAGTGAGAAGAACGCTCATTACTCCAGTCGGTTTAGCCCTGATTCCCAGTATGCTGACACTAAAAGTATTAACCACCCTGGACTTCACACTTTACAAAGAATACCCCGAGTGAACAATCAAGCAGACGAGTCGGACTGTTATTCACAACTACCTCAGAGTGTGAACTCTTCAGGAAAACCACCGTTGGGCCCGTCACCATCACCACAAAAAGTTCTCAGTTCCACTTCAAACTCCGGCTACAGCACCAAAAAGGTCGGGAAGCGGCTTAATATACAGCTAAGGAAAGGTAAGAGGTTGATCTCTATATTTATGGAGTGTACGTGAACGTAAGAGATGTTTTGTCAAGTCATTCATAGCAGTGGTTTTAGAAGAGGTAGCTGCGTTAGTCTGTGCTAGCATTTCAGGCAGGAACAAGTGGAAAAAGAAAAAAGAAGACAAAACATTGTGGCACCTTAAAACCTGCTATCTTTTAATGTGAGCTATCATGGATAAGTCCACTTCCTCAAGACTGAAGAAGTGGACGTGTCCACGAAAGCTTGAAAAAAGAAGATAAAACATTGTGTCACCTTAAAAACTGCTATCTTTTAATGTGAGCTATCACGGATAAGTCCACTTCCTCAACACTGAAGAAGTGGACGTGTCCACGAAAGCTCACATTAAAAGATAGGAGTTAGTTTTTGTTTTTGTTTTTTTCTTTATTTTTTTTCTTTTTATTATTTTTTTTTTGCCTGATTTGTCAGATTAGTATGTACTTTTTATTTTGTTTTTGCCTGATTTGTCAGATTAGTATGTATTGGCCCTGATCCACAGCCTTCTCCTGAAGTGCCATTCCATAATCACTCTTTATTCAGCTTGATTTAATGAGATCGTTAGATTATTTTGGTCATCCAAAATGTGGCAGCGACACTGCTGTCTTTAAAGGCCATATAAAACCAGTCTTGAAGGAGTTACACAGGCTTCGAGTATGCTTCTCAAGTCAATTCAAGGAGTCAGGTTTGATCTATGTGAATTACTGCAAATTACTTAAGGCAGTGAAAATTAAGCAGCTGGAGAGAACAATAGAAACAAAGGCCCAATAAAAGAAACAACATTTTGAAAATAAATTAAACAGCTGGAAAAATAAACCACTACATGGACAACACCTGGAAAATATTGGTGGAAAGCATGATCACAATTCAAGATGGCCATGGCTAAAATGGGGGACCCTTAAGAAAGAATCCAATGACTTGATTTTTGCTGCATCAAAACAAGCACTCCAAACCAACATAATGAAAGCTAAGATCCAAGGAATAAGTGCTCACAGCAAATGTCAACTCTGCCAACAAAAAGATGAAACTGTGTCACACCTCATTTGTGAATGTCCAAATATTGCACAAACATATTGCAGAATTAGACATGATGGCAAAATGAGTGCACTGGTCATTATTAAAAAAATATATAACCTGGCAACCCATGGGAACATCAGGTGGAGAAGGTGTCAGAAAATGAGGAAGTCAAGATTTTGTGGGATTTCTGGATCCAAACTGATAGACACCTTGAATATAACACACCAGACACAGTAGTAATAGAACAAAGAAATGTCTGTGTCATTGACATTGCAATTCCAGGAGATGCCAGAGTTGAAAATAAAGAATTGGAAAAACTAACAAAATACAGAGACCTGGCAATTGAAACGCTTGTGGATGAAACACACTTCAGTGGTCCCTGTAGTCATCGGGGCTTTGGGAACAATATCAAGAAATTTCACACAGTTTTATATGCAGTTGCAGATCTCAGAAATAGCATAATCAGAGCTACAAAAACGGCAATATTAGGAACAGCATACATCCTCTGTCAATACTTAGGTTTTTGGTTAAAACTGTTATATAGTACCAGTCAATGTTTTTATAATGTTGACTGTGCCTGGAGTTTTTTGATGATGATGATGATGATGATGATGATGATGATGATGATGATGATGATGATGATGATGATGATGATGATGTACAATCAGATAGATTCTAACTTATGAATACTTTGGCCAGTGTTCCTAGCTGCATAGTCTTTTTCTTCTTGAATGCACTGTAGTGAGTCAGACTCCCAACCCCTTGTTCTAGAGCCAGATGCTCCAACTCACTGCGGTCTCTGGCAAGCTTGCACCACATGATAGGGCATAAGTAAATGCAACAATATAAACAAACAGTTTTGGTGGTATTTCACAGGTTTGAAATCTAAATAAGAGGTGTAATGTTCATTTGAATGATGTTCTCTAGTAGTTAGATTAATAAAATTTATTATTTCATTGTCGTGGAGAAAGATCAGTTACTATCCAAGTTTCATTTGCATACTGATGTCAGCAGACAATCCTATTTGATTTCTGGTGAGAATTCAGCAGGTAGTCTAGGCTTGTATAAGTGAAGTTGCGTAAGTCATGGCAACAGATTGCTGCTAACTAACCGCGTACTGATTGCATCCCTGGGCACATGCCCAATTGCAAAATTAGGCATGTGCCCTGGAATGCAACCAGCATCTCATTCATTATCTGCCTTCTTACACAATTTCACTTACACAAGATAAATTGCTAATTGGGTTCTTTCCCCCTTTGCAGGCAATGGCTTATTTTAACATTATTTATTTTTAAGTAGAAGATCAGTAAGAGTCTCACTCATCAAGGGGGACTCGTATTGCACCTTCATTGTGACTGGAGTTGTTGCTTTCCATCACTGATTATGCTCTGTTCTCTGTGAACTTCATGTGAACTACCAGATTGCTTGTTTCTGGTTACTGAGTTTTAAGCTCTACAAACTTGGATGACATAAGGTTGAATTGACAGTTTGCTTCTGTTGTTGATGTGCCTTCAAAAATACTTAAGGCCATCAGCTTAAGATGACATATGCAGTTCAAATACAGTATTACTAGCTAAGATTGGAATTTGTTATACTTAACCAGTATAAAGTACAGTGATTTCTAGCAATTTATCATGTTTAATGGAATGGAGCACAATAAGGAAGTTTCTAGAAAATAGTGTTGAGACAGCGGTGTTCACAAGATTTGGATTTTCTCAGTCAGCAATGGAAGTAATGATTATGTGTATACAGTGATGCCTCACAAGATGACCACGGTTAATGTTGTCTTGCGAAACATGTTTTCCCATAGGAATGCATTGAAATCTAATTAATGCGTTCCTATGGGCAAAAAAAGTCAGAACAAAGTCAAATTTGGTTTACAAAGGGTTTATTAAGTGCTCTTTAAAGCCATACATATTGTGCAGATGATTTAAAAAATTTCAATCGAAAAACTTTAACTTTTTAAACATAATAGAAAAAACATTTTAAAATCAGCAAACATGAGGCAGGAACAAAAAATGGAAAACATTTGTCTTGCGAAGCACGGCCATAGGAACATTCGTCTTGCAAGTCATCAACCCCATTGCCAAAACCATTTGTCTTGCGAATTTTTTGTCCTGCGAGGCATTTGTCTTGCGAGACACCACTGTATATTTTGCATGAATAATTTTGAGCAGCAAGTGGACGAAAGAGCATTTTACAGCTTCTCACTAACAAATAGTGAGACCTGCAAATTGCTACTGCAGAAGGTGAGGCTTGACTACTTCATTGTACTCTAATCAGGGCTGTCTTTGAAGACTCTTTAATTTGGATATCATATCGGTCCCAGAATACTCTGCTGCAATACGAGCTGACCCTAGTAAACAATAATTTTGAAATAAGTTTATTTGTTTTGGCCTTTATTTCTTTTTTCTAGAGCCCAAGTAGAACAGCTGGTGCTTATCTTAAAACCTTTAATAATTGGGGACTTGGGTTTCTCCCACACATATTACTAATTCTCCTTTCTGTTTGCTCATATGCCTTCCCATATAGCAGGATTAGAGGCCCTTCTCCTGGTGCCACAGCCTTAAGTGAGCAGCAGTTCCAGAGAAGGCCTTTTCAACTGAGCACACCAGTGATGGAACATAATTCCTGGAGAGGATTTACTTGATGGAAACGTTCACGCCTTTTCTTTTTTTTAGCACTGGGGAAAAATGGAGGCTCAAATGTATACACCCCCTTTCACACAAGAGTTGCAAATCAATGTGAAGGCTTGTCTCACCTCCCATTTTGTCTTCACAATAAATCTGTGGCATAGGTTACACTGAGGCATAGTAACCCTAGGTCACACAGTGAGCTCCATAGTGAAGTGATAATTTGAACCCAGATGCTAGCAGAACATTCTAAACACTACATTGTAGGGACACCGACAGCTTTTAGGCGTTTTGTAGCACCCCTATAATTGTTGTTTTTCCAGTCACCGTATATGGATGTGAAAGCTGGACCTTTAAAAGGCTGACAGGGAAAAATTGATTTGTTTGAAATGTAATAATGGAGGAGAGATTGCAGACACCCTGGACTGCCAGAAAAACAAACAAGTGGGTCCTACTAGATTAAATCAAGCCTGAACTATCTCTGGATGCAAACACGTTGAAGGCGAGGGTCTCCTACTTTGAGCACATCATGAGAAGGCTGAGGGTCTCCTACGTTGAGCACATCATGAGAAGGCAGGATTCTGTGGAAAAGACAATAATGCTGGGAGAAGTTGAAGGCATCAAGAAAAGAAGAAGACCAAATGTGAGATGGGCTGACTTGCCTGAGCAGGGATGTTGAGGACATTGGAGATGCTCATTTGTAGTCACTATATGTCGGACGCAACTTGATGGCACATAACAAGAACAACATAGTTATTTTTAGCTGGCTTGTTGACCTGGTTATACTTCATTCCTACTTTATCGCTGTCCTTATTGTTTTACAAGGCAGTCTTATTTTTATTGTTAATAGTTTTTTTTACATGCATACATTTACTACTCTGAATATGTGAAAAATAAATGAGAAGAGATGGTAACAGCAACAATTGCAGAATCATCAAAATTTAGATTTAGACCATAATGTTTGCTTAATATTCAGAATATCAAGATGTTTCAGTTGCTGAAGTCAGAATTGGGAAGGAATTTAGTTACGATTGTTTCTATGTTTCATTTCATTTTGTTTTTTGGAGTACAGCTCCAAGTGGCCTTGCTGCCTAGGGCATTCTGGGAAAAGGAGCCCAAAAAACAACATTTCCAACCTCTGATTAAGGCCAACATTGACAGTTCATACAGGAGAATCTTTGGAAGCTTGTGAAAATCTTGGAAGACTGGCGTTGTAGCATTAACTCCCTAAGATAAATCTGTTCTCTCTATGCTATGTCAGTTGGAATTGATTGTTTTCTTGATCAGTTCCATGTACAATACATTATAGCAATCATGTTTTTAAATTC